ATCAGTTTCCTGTTCGTTAATGCCCAGGTCTTGCAATCACATCGAGCTGATAGCATATAGTGATTTCCTTCTAATTGGTCAGCGTTGATAACTACTGTAGATGGTTTGCAAATACACCTTTAAATATACACCTTCTAGACAGCGATAAACTTCAGGCTTTTCAGGGCAAATCCGTTTCTATCTCCAAAACTACATTTGCATCGCTCGAATTCTATAACAGCTTGTCTAAACTCGGCAGCGTTTATCACGGCATCCTTTGATGAGTCTCGAAATGAATGCTTCTGCTTTTCTTAGCTCTTGTGATCTCTGTCATCATCGTTGTTTGAGATCGACTCAAAATATTGACAGAGCATGATCAGCTGCAATTCACCAATGTGCTTTATATATCGTATATAGACTTTTTTTAACTCTATTACAGTTTGAAACGTGTGGTGAACTCTTCTCACTTTCATCTCATAACTGGTCTTTTCAAACGTACAAAAATTGCAGAAATCAAACAATCGTGACGCATCCTTTTCTTGAAAAAACTAATAATCAACAAAAGGCAATGTCTATTTACGCAGGCCACTTACACCATCGAGGGTATATTAACATATTTAAGGGCGCCATTTTGAGGTCAATATAATTAGGATAGACAAATGCTGAGTTTAAGCTGTGCATCACTATTTCTCTTAAAGGCCTCATAATTCAAATATCTGGTGACCATCGTTTCGATGAATGGAAACTATGAGCAGAGCTTAAGAAGAAGGAATGCACTGGCATTCATCTTAAGAGGAGCTACGTACGTTTTATCCCAAGAGGACTGGCAGTTGCCACTAAGATCTGATTCTGTCGCATTGCAATTAGAGCAGCCCTGTTCTACCGGTTGGAGATGGTGGCACTCACAGGAGTAGGGGAACATCGACTCAACAGCCTACATGACCACACGAAAAACGACCGAGTCTTGGCACTTGTCCAACTCACCAACATATCGAGGGTCATATCGAAGGTGCTGAGAGGCAGACGGTTGCCTGGTTCCACCATTTGCAACGAGGCGATCAACCTCACTGACTCGTCATGTATTGACGCAATAAACAGAAACAACGATAGCGAAAAATAAGTGACCAACACATTACCTGACGAAGGAAACAAAGGCCATTTTTTGATGAGGCATTTTTCTTTCGTCCACACAATCAAAAACTCTATCTTTATATCAAAATGTGATGATTAAGGCTGAGCGGTCATCGCCAGTCTTAAGCTGCCTGCAGGTTTGCAAGGACACCAATGATGATGATGAGAAAAGCACACTATATTCTTCATGTCAAATTAATTATGAAAAAGTTATCATTTTTTAAAATTGTTTACAAACAGTTTATCCATACATAACACAAACTATTCGGTCAATCGGATGGTTAATCAGAGCCGACATTTCGACTAATGTCTGAAGGACTTTCTTTATAGTGGATGGTTTTGTTTACGAAGTTCGCTCTGTGGTCCGGTTCACTTTAATTGTTATATACACGATTTGGCAACTTATCGTGTCCCTTTGGGTTCATTGAAGCAAATTTGACTAACTATAGAGGTTTGGAGAATGTCGAACGTGAAGCACCAAACGAGTGACTAGGCTACGTACATTGGATGATGGCGAAGCAGCTTCGGTGTTGCTTTGGACGTTCACCTGCACTAGGTCAGATTCCTCCAAACTCAGGCTCATTAACGTATGATTTATAAACCGGAAGAATTACGTGATTGAAAAATGTTTTCATATTTGAAACGATCGTTGACAGGCAAATGTTTTGAAGCTGTACTGTAGGTGGTGAGCTGAGGAAATAATAGCAGAAACGCATTGTTGGCAATTGGTAATGTAACGCTTCTTACGTCTGGGTACGCTTCGTTTACTCAGCTGAGTGTTTCCTTAACAAACTGAGGATTGGCTATAGTCGGTGGCTATATGTTTGCCATTGTGCTGTACAAATTGTAGCCAGGTCAGTTATAGCAAATACTAGCAAAGTCGTTCCACCTACGCTGCAACTAGTCCTTCCAAAAAAGCAGTACCAACCGTGCTAGAAAACCGACCAGCGTCGCTGACAAATCATGGCATCTGCAGTAAGTAAAATAACTGATTTGTTACACCATTGTTATCAGTGAAATTAAGCGACAAATCCTCAGACCATCTTCGGTCATATATACTCTCTTTGAGACATTCTATTCTTATATTCTATGTGAGAAAAATCCCTATATTTGGATGTCTGTAATTATGGATGGCGCTTCGAATCTTAGAACCACCTGCATTGAAAACCTCATGTTTTCTGTCAGCTCATGGAGAACCAGAAACCATCCATCCTCCCGTTCTTTTTTCATTTCTCACGTGTTCAGCGTATTAGATGTTTTCAACATTTACGGTCAATGGGCAAGCCATCTAAGACCATTGAGATAAATATGATTTGTTCAGTCTCGATTTGTCGTCCTAATGGTATAGCGAGTGGAGACTGTAGCATGTATTCTGAACAGAATCTTCCACCAAAGGTTTTAAAGCATTCTTAGTTGATATTCATACATGACTCTACTGCACGATCATTTTAAGTACGAGAAGCGTGATTGA